CAACATGGCTGAGGCTTCTGGGACCTGAAGTCCCTCGGCCTTTAAAGGAGAAAGGTTGCCTACCCCTGGCCTGCACAGTGCACCTTCTGCTGAGGACAGAAATGGGTGCCCAGACATGTGATCAGCAAAGAGTATGGGTGCCCTTTTCTGTCCTCAAGAGAAGTGGCAATATTCCAGATAGGCTTTACATGGAGCTCCTCCTCAGGAGGAAGCGGTGGTGGCAGCTCCAAAAACAGGAGACAGCCCAGTGGGGCTGATGTGATGTCAACTCAGCTGGCCCATGTGCACAACCATGTGGCATCACACCAGATATGGCCCAGTGTGTGTGGTCGCCATCATGGTTGGTTAGGGGTCCAGTCTGAGGCATAATGTTCCAGAATGGTCTCAGATTATGTAGTTTGTGTAAATACACCCTTGGAGTTGTAATAACAATTGGTATCTTTTTCTAGCATCTGCTAATGAGGTACCAGAACTTGATTTGGTCAATAATATGCTGTCCCACTACTACAGCAGAACTCCTATTAGTCTAATGGTCTCCCAGGCACTTTCCCAGAACACACAGGTTTTCTCCCTCAGTTACCATGACTTTTTTCACTTATTGTTCCTTATGGTACAAGAGGCATAGGGTTAAAGAAAAATATTGAGGGTATAGGGGAATAATTTTAGATAAGAAAAGAATGGGATGGAGGTGGTAAAAATGGTGTAGGTAATTAGGTGACAGTATAAGACCCATCCAACCAAAATAATGTGCTGGACTTTGCTAACTGTTGTGGTGGTGTTCCTGTTTAATGATATATGTCTTAATCTTGGTTTTAATATTTTGATTGTTTAACCTCATTTTAAGTTTTGTATTTTGTGGATTTTTATTTTTTAAAAAAAATGTTATAAACTGCTTTGAGTCTTGAATTGGGAAAAAGGTAAGATGGAAGAAAGAAATAATAATAATAATAATAATAATAATAATAATAATAATAATAATAATAATCCAAGTTGTAAGACAGTTTGGCATCAGAGAGGTTAGGGAGGAGACTGGTTCACTATGAGTGAAGTTGGTTGGATTCATAATTGGAGCTACAAAACACTTGGGCATGACTAGGAAAGCCTGAGAATAAGGAACCAAGACCAGGAACTACTAGGAATCAAATGATATTGTCCATAATATCACTGGGGGTGGGAAAACCTTTTGAAAGAGTCAATCATACAATATTTTGATTTTCAGTGTGTCAGTCTGAAATACCATCAGTTATATATTATGCTTCCATATCCCCAGAACATTAACTCCATGGGGAATGCATCAATCATTATAATAGAGATTTCTGTCCTAAATAATTTTCACTTTGGTTTATATTTTTTAAAATACTATTCCCTTTGTATTGTGTAAATGTCAATAACAATGTATTGTAACATGTAATAACAGAAATGTGCTTCTCAACTGGAATATTATGAATCTAGTGGCTTTAACAATAAACTATAGCTTTACATATAATGTCAATGCATAATCACAGCTTTCAGAGAAATTTAGTGACACTTAGATTATAGGTCTCCACTGTGATCATGCTGGTTGGGGGATTCTGGAAGTAAACATTTTTACCTGATAAAAAAAATAGAATACATGTGGTCTATTAGGTCACAAGTTGCTCACTTTGCTTTACAGACTGCTCTTGCCACTGTAAGCTGCTTTAAACTGAGGTAAGCTCCTGTCTTTTTAAGCTTAAAATAAAAAGTCAGGAGCTTATCTCAGGTTAAAGCAGCTTACAGTGGCAAAAGCAGTATAGAAAGGAAAGGGAAAAGGCAGACAGGATGGAGAAAGAGCCATAAAGGGATGACTGTGACCAACTGCAGTTACTTGCACTTCCATTACTTGTGCCTGGACCAACATGATTGCTGAGGCCTCTGCAATCATATTTGCTTCTGTAATGTTCTTCATGTATGTAAAGACCCTGTTGTTGCTGTGTGCCTTTGAGTCATTTCCGACTTATGATAACCCTAAGGTGCATATATCATGGGGTTTTCTTGGCAAGTTTCTTCAGAGGAAGTTTGCCATTGCCATCCTCTGAGGCTGAGAAACTTGCCCTGAGTCATCCAGTAGGTATACATGGCCGTGCCAGGATTCAAACCCTGATCTCTGGAGTCATAGTCCAATGCTCAAACCACTGCAACACACTGTCTTTCTATGTAAAGACCTCTACTGCCATGATTCTTTCTGATCCTTTACCTACACAAGGTTAAGCTGCCCAGAGGCACAGAGATTTGGATGGCTGGACTCCATTGCCAGAATCCCTGTTTCATGTCTTCTTCTAGTACCTCAACAGAGGGGGGCCCAGGGGAAGTAGAAAAATGGGATGGATATGGCCCTTATACCCTCCTCCATTGCTGCCCACAGCTGGATTTACACGGATAAACATTTTTACCTGATATAAGGTCATTTGTACTTTGTACTTTGTAGGGACTCATTGTCTTTGCACATTAGGTAAAAGATAAAGATGTTCCCTGTTGACAAGGTTGTCAAGTCATAACCTACCATAGGGGGTGGTGCTCATCTCCGTTATTAAGTCAAAGAGCCAGCATTGTCAGAGACTACTCTGTGATCAAGTGGCCAGCATGATTGCACAGAATGCTGTTTACCCTCCCACTGAAGTGGTACCCGTTTATCTACTTGCATTTGCATGTTTTTGAACTACTAGGTTGGCAGAAG